AAGAGTGGGGAAACGGGGCAGTTACCTGTTACTACGAGATCCAGGAAGTCACTGGGCTCTGACCAGAGCTCCCCACTCTGATAGAAGCAGTAGTATTGCCCGCAGTGCGTAAGGTCATGGTTGGAATTAGGAACTTGACTTTGTTCATCCCTCTAGGTGGTTTCAGTCTCTCCAAGGAGAAAAGCTTCCTTCAAAATACAGTTGGTACTCAACAGCCTCATGCGTCCCTCGCACCAGATGGTCACCGGCTCTCCATCTGGAACCATGAAACTGGGTTTGGCCCAGATGTTGGGTTGGAGAGAGTCTCTGGAAGGGAATCAGAGCCGGAGCTCGAGACGAACCCTTCCCACCTACTTTCCTCCCAGCTGCCAGCCGAAACCCTCCAGCAAGCCGGGCCCTGCCTGCCTCCCCTGGTGTTCTCAGGCGGGTCCGCCCCAGACTGACTCTGGGGCTTTGGAGGAAGGACTCACGCTTCTGGGTGCTGATCCTCTGGCTCAGACACAGCCCTGGAAGACAGCACTGGTGAGACACGTTGTCGGCCCCACCCCGCGTCCCAGTCTTGGGCAGCTGCGGGTAGGGTCGGCGTAGGGGAGAAGGAGGCAATATGGCGTCTGCTGCGCCACTCGGGTCTGTGCACATGGAGGTGCCTGGAGGGTTTTTGGAGCCTGGTTGCCGCGTCCGCTACAGGCTGTCTTCTAGCTGGCGGCGGCCATCTCTGCGCTGGTGTCTGCAGGTCTCTCCACCTGCTCGGGAGCCCACCAGCAATCCCAGATGCAGGGGAGGGGAAACGGCAAATTCACCTACCCTTCCTGCTGGTCTCCAGGCTGCTCCGGCAGTCTCAGCTTCCAGTTCTCCTCCGCAGCCTCCTCCCATGGAGTCTCCTGGGGTCTCAGGTACCCCTCTTTCTGGCCCTCGTCCACTGTATGCTTGTCTTCTTGCTTCTTTTTTCTGATTTCCGCTAGAATCTGTCTTTTCTGCAGAGACATTTTGTCTGGCAGTGTTTCTCGTCTGCCATCTTGATCCTCCCCCCCCTTACATTTTTATAATGATATTTCCATGCACAAACTACTAGAAAGTAAAGTAAACAGTAACCAGTGAGAGAATTACATAGGGCCAGTTTAGAGTCCTTTGAGTAAAGTCTTGTAAAGATAAAGCTGGAAATGTTTATAAGAAAAAAATAGGGGAAATATTTAGAAAACCATTTATATGAATGAATTTAATTTTGAACCCTTGGAAATATATATGAATATAGTAGAACATAGCTCTAGTTTCTTATTTTAGCTTTGATTAAAGCCAATGTCTTAGTCTGTTTTATGCTGCTATAACAGAATGCCACAGACTAGATAATTTATAATGAACAGAAATTTATTTGGCTCATGCTCCCAGTGGCTGGGAATTCCCAGATTGAGCAGTTGCATCTGGTGAGGGCTTTCTTGCTGAGTAATAACATGGTGGAAGGCATCATATGTGGGAGTGATAGTGCTGAATTCATTCTTTATAAGGATCCCAATTTTACAATAACTAATTCCCTTTTGCAATAATAGTATTATTCCATTCATATGAGCAGAGCTCTTACGGCCTAATCACTTCGTTAAGTTCCCACCTTCCAGCACTAGGGATTAAGTTTCCAACACATGAACTTTGGGGGACACATGGAAACAAGCCATTGCTGTTAGCGGAGCTGATTGATCAGACTTTTACAGCATCATTGCCTTGTTATTCCACTCAGCAACATCCTAGCCAGCATGATATCTAGAGAGCTGTTAGTTAGATGTTCACTTTTGTTTGGCCCCCTAATACCATGCTTAGAATCAGGGTTTCTAAAAGCTTCCCTACTCTGATTGCTACCCTGGAATTTTACAGATGCCCATAATTGGACCCAACCAGCGGGAGTTACCAGGGTCAAAAGGGAGAGAAGTGGATGGTGAGATAAGATGACAGAACTTAATCTCAGAACCTAGTCTTGGATTGAAGACAAAGCTACATAGAGTTTATTTTTTTTAATAGGAGCCAGCATCACACTAAATAATACAAAAATGCCTTCGGGGTTCAATACAGAAGATTTATTGTTTTAAAATTGCTCATAGAATGAATGCTCCATGTTGACGAACCAGCTTCATGAAAGTGGAATCCAGATGAATGAAAAATTCTAGCCTGAAGATAAAGACTCAGCCCTCAGTGAGTTATCTACATTGCTACATTCATCTACATTCATTTCAGAGCCTCCTACTCCTGGGGCACAGTGGAAAATCTTAAGTCCTATACTGATTAAATAATATAGACCTCTAATTATTCTGAAAACTAAATGGAAAAAATAAATTAATGGGTTGTAGTGAAACACATCAGTGTTTAAATTTTCCTTGAATGAAAACCCCAGAGAAATAGGGTTTATGAAATAAATAGGGTAATTCCCCTATGTGCCTTTCACTCTTGTCAATTTACAGATGAACAAAACAGATACCTTAAAAATAAAGGGAGGGAGGTTACTGAATATTTTTGGCATGCATACCAATTACTTGTATTTGGTGGAGACACATTTAAAAATATGAAAATAAGAAAATTAGGGAAAAATAAAAAAGGATATAAAACACCAGGAGATAAAGATAGAAAATCACAACTACTGTTGATAAAGGTAGGCTGCAAATAGCATCAGATCCACATAAGAAAACACTATTTGATTGGTTCAAAAATGGATCCAAGCTCGTTCAGGGCCTTTTTGTCCCTGGTGTTCTCCAAGTAGCTTTGTAGAACTCCACAAGTCCTGACTCATCTCTACTTTCAGCTCCAGGTGCTACCTGTGGCCACTAGAGGTTTGTCCAAGGGTCCATTCTGTCTGGCATTTCTGTTTCCTCCAGCTTGGTTCAGCCAGGTGAGGCCAGCCTTCCTTGTGTGGCACCGTATGGCTGTGCCGGTGTTCAGCCAGTATCGCCAAGAGAGCCACAAGGACCAGTCCTGCCACGCCCATGCGGATCAGGTTCCCCACTGTGTAATCTTGGTGCATGGAGTCTAGAGACATAATTCAAAGAGATGAATGATGATTGGCCACGTTCCATTCCAGCCCAAACCCAGAGCCCTGACATGGGCACTCATTTCCCTGTTTGTTTCCCCAAATGCGTTTCCACTCGACCTCTTCCTCAACAAGCTCACGCGTTCACTAGCCCTGTACTCACCAGTCTGCCAGCTGGTGTCCAAGGACAAGAAACCGTGCTTCCCAGGGGAGTCCCACAAACACAGAAGGAGGTGATTATGGGGAGGTTGGGTGTTCTCTTATGCTCTACTTACTTGGTGATTTCACTGAATGTCTAATAGTATCTCTGCAACATCTCCATATATCCAGAATCTGGAATTCCCTCTTCCACCTTCACCCCACAGAACAATACATGAAATCCAACATCTGGATTCCAATTTCTGGTTCATCAACATGGAAAGTTCATAATATGAGCAATTTTAAAACAATAAATCTTCCATATCAAACCCAGAAGGATTTTTGAATTATTTAGTGGGATGCTGACTGTTACAGAAAACCAACTCCAAATAGCTCTGGATTCATACATGACAAAGACTGAAACTCATTTTGGGTAAATTTCTAAATTCTTTAGTGTGAAAGGCTTGCCCAGGGCATGGGATAAATTCTTTAGTGTGAAGGCTTGCCCAGGCATGGGAGATAGATTGTCTATTTGTGATCTTCTTGTCTTTGGTTTATGCATTATGAGGATAACTTTCCTCTCAGAACTGCTTTAGCTGTGTCCCAGAGGAGTTGATAACTTGTCCTCCATTGTCGTTTTCTCATAGAATTTTTTTATTTCTGTCTTGATTTCTTCATTTATGAAGTAATCATTTAGTAGGAGGTTGTTTAATCCACGTTTTTGCGTAAAATGTGAGGTTTCTGTTACGGTTGATTCTACTTTATTCCACTGTGATCTGAGAAGGTACATGGTACGATTTCTTTTTTTAATTTCTGAGATTTATTTTGTGTCCTAGGATATGGTGAATCTTAGAGATGTCCGTGAGCTGATGAGAAAGATATATTCAGTGGATTTGGTAGAATGTTCTGTAAATGTCAGTCAGACCAATTATTCTAGAGTTTTGTTCAAGTCCATTATTTATTCGTTTGGAGATCTGTCTCGTGCCATCAGTGGGTGTTGAAATCTCCGGGATTATGGAGTTGATATTATCATTTGCTTAGCTCCAGTAAGGTTTGCTTTATGAATCTGGGTGCACCTAAGTTGGGTGCATATATATTTAAAATTGTTATCTCTTCTTGTTGAACTGTGCCCTTCACCATTATATAATGACCCTCTTTGTCTTTCACTACTTGTTGGGTTTAAAAACTAAATCGTCTGAAATTAGAACTGCCAGCCAGCCTTCTTTGGCTTCTATTTGCTTGGAATACTGATCTCCACCCTTTTAATTTAGTCTATATGCATCCTTGCAGGTTAGATGTGTTTCCTGAAGACAAGCATATACTTGGCCTGTATTTTCTTATCCATTCAGCCAGCCTATGTCTCTTAGTGGAGAGTTTAAGCCATTCACATTTATTGAGAGAACTGATAGTAAGTAGATTACTGTTCATTCTGTTGGGTTGGATGTTGTTCTTTGATTTCTCTCTTGAGCCATAGTGATATCTGCCTTTAATCTTGGTTTGGTTGTTTTATATTGTGATTTTATTATGGTGTTCGTGTGTAACACTGTTTTGAGTACTTCTTGTAGGGTGGTCTTGTCTGGTGAATTCTCTGAGACTCTGCTTGTCTGGAGAATGTCTTTATTTCTCCTTCATATATGAAGCTTAGTTTTGCAGGGAATAAAATTCTGGGATGGCATTGTTTGTTTCAGAAGAGTGAGAATGGGGCCCAGTCTCTCCTTGCTTGTAAAGTCTCTAGAGAAGTCTGGTGTTATTTGAATTGGCTTTCCCTTGTATGTCACTTGCTTCTTTGTCTTACAGCTCTTAGAGGCGCTCTTTAGTTGATATTTGGTCAGTCTGATGACTGCATGTGTGAGTCTTCCTGTTTGCATTGAATCTCCAGGGGTCCTCTGAGCTTCTTGTACTTGTATATCGAAGTTTGAGCAAGCCTGGGAAATTTTCCTCTATTATATCTTCAAATAGCTTGTCCAACCCTTTAGTGTGTCTTCTTCCCCTTTTGGTAAGCCTATGACCTCACATTAGGTTCTTCCATAATCCCACATCTCTTGTAGGTTTTGCTCTTTCTCTTGTTTCTCTTGCTATCTCTGTGACAGTTTATTTAGTTGGAGGGTGTTATCTTCAATCTCTGAGGTTCTTTCTTCTTGTTGATCTACCCTGTTCTTGAGACTTTCCACTGTATTTTGTAGTTCCCTGAATTGATTCTTCATTTCCAGGAGTTCGGTTAAACTTTTCTTCATTGTGTCTATTTCATTAGTGAACATTTGTTCTAGGTCCTCGGGCTTTTTGTGGTTTCTTGTGTTGGTTATTGAGTTTTCTTGCAGTTGATAAGTGTTCTTATGATCACATACAAAATTCTCTTTCTGTATTTTGTGGCTGATTTTGATTGGTGTCATTTCTAGGGGGCTGGTACTCTTCTTTGAGGTGTGTTTTCAGTTTGGTTCTTCATATTTCCTGAGTTCCTTTGCTGATTTCTTCCATGTCGATCAGTTGTTGTTTCTTTCCTGTAGGTTTTTTTTGGGTATTCACACGGCTTTTTAGTTTCTGAGCCGGTAGGTGGTGTCTGTGGGTGAGATTCGACCACTCCTGTATAATGAGTCAGTAAGTGCTGTGAAAAGGCTGCGGCAGGATGCTGTCCTTTCAGTAGGTGGCGCTTGCTTGGAGGAACAGGCTACACTGTTTTTTTTGTCCTGTTATCGCTCCTGTTCCTGTAGGAGAGCACTCTTGTGCTCAGGTGGTCGGTGGCCTAGGACTTCCAGGTGTGTCCTTTTCTCCCCCTCAGTGGAGACTGGTCTAGGAGAGAGTCTGGGCGGGGCTGGGTTGGTAGCCTTGCCCTCAGGCACCACCAATTCGTTAGCAGGGGCAAAGTTCTGTTCTCTGCTTCCAGGAAAGCTGTCAGGGAGGGGCTGGAATGGCTGGCCCTAATAGTCAGAGATCTGCTGTGGGGTGGGGCTGTCTGAGACCCGCAGTCTGGAGCGGGCCTGCTTCTTTCCACCCTCCCAACTCCGCAGCTGACTCCTGGGCCTCTGCCAGGCCAGACACACACCACCAGCCTCCTGGACTGTGATGCGCAGGGAGGTTCCCTCACAGGAACGCCACCTGGGCTGGGCGCACGGCCTCCTTTTGTGAGGAGGGTTGCCCTCTAGGACGCTGATCTGCCTCTGAAGGCACACACACTGCAGTATGCTGTTCACGTATATCCTTCTGTGTCCCGGGCAATGCTAGACCTCGGTGCAGGGGATCTGGTCTGCAGGTCTGACCTCTGGGTCCCAGAGTTCAAACTGTATCCCCACCAGGAGAGGAGTTCCGTACCAATTCACCATAGTGGCCCAAGCTGGTCTATGTCTCTCAGCGTCAGGTTGGCACAGTTCTCCTGGGATCACTCGTGCCAGCAGCACTTGGGAGGGCTGGCGGTAGGGAGGCTCACAGTCTGAGTTCTCCCTTATTCAGCTGTAGGACCCCAAAAGGGAGGTCCCGTTCCTGGAGTGCCTCTGGCTGGTGGCTGTATTGTCTCTTTGGCAGCTGCGGGTAGGGTCGGCGTGAGGAGAAGGAGGCAATCATGGCGCTGCTGCGCCGCTCGGTCTGTGCACATGGAGGTGCCTGGAGGGTTTTTTGGAGCCTGGTTGCCGCGTCCGCTACAGGCCTGTCTTCTAAGCTGGCGGCGGGCCATCTCTGCGCTGGTGTCTGCAGGTTCTCCACCTGCTCGGAGCCCACCAGCAATCCAGATGCAGGGAGGGGAAACGCAAATTCACCTACCCTTCCTGCTGGTTCTGGCTGCTCCGGCATCTCAGCTTCAGTTCTCCTCCGCAGCCTCTCCCATGGGTCTCCTGGGGTCTCAGGTACCCTCTCTTCTGGCCTCGTCCACTGTATGCTTGTCTTCTTGCTTCTTTTTCTGATTTCCGCTAGAATCTGTCTTTTCTGCAGAGACATTTTGTCTGGCAGTGTTTCTCGTCTGCCATCTTGACTCCTCCCCCCTTACATTTTTATAATGATATTTCATGCACAAACTACTAAGAGTGGGGAAACGGGGCAGTTACCTGTTACTACGAGATCCAGGAAGTCACTGGGCTCTGACCAGAGCTCCCCACTCTGATAGAAGCAGTGGTATTGCCCCGCAGTGCGTAAGGTCATGGTTGGAATTAGGAACTTGACTTTGTTCATCCCTCTAGGTGGTTTCAGTCTCTTGAAGCTTCCTTCAAAATACAGTTGGTACTCAACAGCCTCATGCGTTCCCTCGCACCAGATGGTCACCGGCTCTCCATCTGGAACCATGAAACTGGGTTTGGCCCAGATGTTGGGTTTGGAGAGAGTCTCTGGAAGGGAATCAGAGGCCGGAGCTCGAGACGAACCCCCTTCCCACCCTACTTTCCTCCCAGCTGCCAGCCGGAAACCCTCCCAGCAGGCCGGGGCCCCTGCCTGCCTCCCCTGGTGTTCTCAGGCGGGTCCGGCCCCAGAGTGACTCTGGGGCTTTGGAGGAAGGACTCACGCTTCTGGGTGCTGATCCTCTGGCTCAGACACAGCCCTGGAAGACAGCACTGGTGAGACACGTTGTGGCCCCCACCCCGCGTCCCATCTCCCTTCCGTGCAAGGACTCACCAAGGCAGAGCAGGGTGGTCGCCGCAGGAGGCATAGCACAGGCTGTGCCAGGGTAGCGCCGAGCGGCTGGGTGTGGACCGAGCCCAGCGGTCCAGGGAGCTGCACAGGATGTGGTGGGTGAGGCCCAAGGCCAATGGGGCTTTCACATTGGCTTCTTTCACAGGAAGCTTCACAGCTCTCCCTCCACCTCTGACCGTGGGCCTAAGGAAAGGGCATGGGCTCTATGACACATCTCACCACACCTGTGGTCTGACCGGCCCCTCTGACCACT